GAACGTTGCTGTCATGATCCTGGTGGAGGTTGGCACCCACTGCACGAGGACATTCCATGCTCTTGGGGACTTCATGATGGCCACTCCAAAACTCAGTGTACTGGTGGTTGTCGTCTATGTCAAAATATAGGAGTATATTATTGACTCTCCAGTTAAAGTTTGGAGAGTCCACTTCCATTCCACCTGCTTTCGCAGATTCCTAGCTCTTCAGTGTCATACCTTCTCATTTCTTTACAATCTCGGCAACCTTACTAGGTTCAAACGAAGTGCGGACATTCCATATCCCCATGTATACTTTCGCTTTCATGGAGAGAAGTGGAGACACATCAGCCAACTGCTTTCTGAAGGTTTTCACCAACCGCGTCATTCCGCCTCTTCGAAGAAGATAAATGGAGATAAATAAACCTCTTTAGTATATATCATGGAATCAAGATCTCAGATGAACAGGTTATAGTAAAGGTACCTAATGAAATCTACTAATTACCCTCACTAGTTAGTAACTACTCAAATTGTTAACTAGTAGTATCTCTCACTAATACATAACACTTCTGTTTCTCAGACCACTCACTCTGTGATCTTGACTGAGTGGTTTCTACCAAAAACCTTATTGACACAATAATTGAGGAATTGAAAAAAAAAACACTCACCTGTTAGAAATGTGAACATGGATCATGCATCATACAATTCTGTAGTCAGTCATTTACAGACTGATTATTCTGATTTAAGTATACTACTGTATGTAAGTGATCTGTAGTGAATCGCTTCAATGAGCTGAATTTGTCTGTGTATACCACTGGTGAGCTCTTCCATAAACAAGTATAACAGTTGCCTGGTGTTCAGATGACTTTGATCTGGTTGACTAGAACAATACATACCATTGATCAGCTTGACTGATTTCCAACTACTCAACTTGTTCAATAGTAATAATAATCCTTAGCATGATTGATTGTTGAATGAGAGACAGAGAGGACGAGTAGACGAAAGATTATGTGACCTACACAAACAATATCATATACTTAATCGGCTCATTCCAACTAGTCAAGACGATATAAATAAGGTAAGAGGTGGTTGGTACTTAGAAGGATGAGAAAGAAACGAATAGTGACATAGTTTATCATAATCTTGATGAGAAAATGAAGTCCACCAAAGGATAGGTGTAGTAGAAGAAGAACAAATTGGTTTTGTCTATACATAAAGGTGGTTACAATGTGTGTGTATATAGCTATCGCTTCCATACATCTTATTATATATGTGTCCCTGACTGTTGCTGTATAAAACTTTGAACATTAACATTGTGACTTATTCGTATGATAATAATAAGTTTGAGTAAAACTGAAGTGTGATATTTTGGTAGAAGTAGAAGTATATGATTTTTAATTAGAAAAGGCTGAACACTGTATAAAATCAAATCAGGCTGAATGTATGAGAAGGAGAATGTTAGTTATCTGAGATATTTGAGTTGAAGGAATGATTGTCAGTCTACAAATAGGTGAATTGGACAGGACAATATGAGTTTCAATCGTGTTTGTTCAATCCAATCCAAAGATTATTATTATTATTGTTATTGTCGTTGTTGTTGTTATTTTTCGCTTGTGTTCCTAGTGGAACATACGGCTTCAGTAGGACGTTGCCACTTCACTCTCTTCTCTCCAGTCTTTTCAACCTCACTCCATGACTGCCCATCACCATTCATTTTTTCTTCACTTCATCTCCTCGATGTCAACCTTATCTCGGACACTCAACTCGTCATTTCACATTTGGTTTCCATTCGAGGGTGTGGTGTGGTCTGGCGCGTGATGTCTCCGACTTGTCTTCTCAGTGAATCTCCGGTCCGATCGATCTCGGTTTTCTTCTTCTACATGTTTGTTTGGTGATGGGTTCTTGGTTGGTTGCTTGCCAGCCGGGCGGCCAGCCAGCCAGTCAGCCACAGTTCGGTTTTGCTTATTCTTATTATTCTGGTCATCTGATCTCAGTATTGAGTGAGCGTAGGTGACAGCTGTTGATGATATATGTCTGTAGTTTTTTGGAAGTTTTTTTTCTTGACGCGCCTAGTTTCTGAACTATCGCATAGAAGCACTGACTTGACTGAATTACTGCTGAAAAATCCCATGTTTTTCTCCATGCTGAGTGCTGTGCAGTGCAGTGTAGCGGATCTGCACACTGATTTCAGATTTTTAAATGAAAGCCTGTCTTTGCTTTTTCGATCCTGGTTTTCATATCCTCATCTGTACCATCGCCTGCTGCCTTCATTTTCGAAAGAGACGACTTCCTTCAGATTTCTCCTGTCGATAGTGGCTAGTGCTTGGTGTTTTTTGTTGGGTATCTTCATCCCCTCTGTCTTCTGTACGTTCACCTGATGGAAGTCCCATCTTCGCTGCCTCTTCTGTCAACTTTTTGTTTTTGCCTATAGATCTTCGAGTTTGTGCGATATTAGGCAAAAATCATCGGTGAAATCCAAATCTTCTGGGGTATCTTCATCGGTAGAGCGTATGCTCGTCTTCTCGCCCCTCACAGTTTGCTGCATGATCCAGTCCAGTCGACCACAATTAGAATGAGCATGTCTGATAGTAGACAGCCTTGTCTTACTCCTGTCTTCACTTCAGAGGCGTCACTGATCTGAGCTTTCCATTGTGAATGAGTTGGCATATGGCGTCTTCATATAGCATGCAACTGTTGAATGAGATTGATGAAGTTTTGTGGCACTCAAACTGTAGTGTTGAAGCAGCTCCCTTCAAAATTACTTGTCAGTTGAGACTTCGATCACAGGCCTTTTCAAAGTGGATGAAGTTGAGGTAAGTATCCAATTGACTGCCACTCTATACTCTATTCTATGATGATGCGTAGCGTACAGTTGCAATTTGATTCCCACATGATTTGTTCTTCCTGAAGCCAATCAACCTGTTCTGGTCTTTCGAATAGCAGAGCTTTTTTCCAGATCATCGATCCTATTGAGGGTCTGTCAATTTATATGTGGCCTTATTCTTATGTTCCAATAATCTAACTGAACCTCACCGACTAGTTTCACCTATGTACTTCACCTTAAAGTTATTGCATGGAATTTGATAGATTACATTATTTTGTTTAATGGATTCTGTGGAATGCTTAAGCCAGCCGAAAAAGCTTATCTCTGAGTGAGTTTATAGGTTTATGTATTAAATAGGTGCTTTGAACTCTTTTCTACTCGTATTGTTGCTATCATTTCTATTTGTAGTATTCTTATCATCTTGCTTCTGATGTGTTCATGTAAGTTTCTTAATAAACAGCAGAGGGTAATTATTAATCAGTAATGTTACTTTTATGTGTTTCACTTCCTTGTTTAGGTCTTTGAACTGACTAGTCAGTTTTTTAGCTCCATCATTGCAACATTTAACTAAACCTGCCTTAACTGACAGATATTGGATGGAATGACTTGAAGTGTACACACCTACCTTTTGGAATGTATTGGTTTCCTGTAGACAGTAGTATCCAAACTACTGTCTATCCTTCTTTTTACTCTATAGTCTCTTACATTTTCTTCCTCGTAACTCAATTGGATTCCACCTACTGTTAAGTTTATATGTGTGCGGAAATTGTCATCTGGATATCGCCATGATATTGTTGGTGAAGGATCAAACATTTGTAAAGCTATTTTTTTTCCCCAACTATCCATAAATATATCTGATACGATTGCAGACATTGAAGATCTCATTCCTACTCCTTCTGTTTATCTGTATAGTTTGTCGTGAGGTCAGGTACAACTTTATGGCTGGCTAATATAATTTCATTAATCAATATCTCAGTTCTACGAGTCAGTGATTCTTATCATTGAGTAATTATTTATTGTTTGTGACTGAACACTCATGAGAAATCACTCCATTTACCTAAGAATAATCTGCTTCTTCTTACCAAATTTAATCATAAGCATCTTAATTTCTTAAACTTATCAGATTCATGACTTTCTTAAAATCTGTAATTACTGTTTATCAAACCCTGACCAACACTTGTTTAGTGTTTTGATTAAATCATGAAAGTAAATATTAGTGTATAGCCGAAGAAGAAGATGTAATTGAAAAGGAAAAAAATATCTGTTCGCTGGTTGGCGCCCTTGCTTGCTCGCAGAATCAGTCTCATTCTCATGTAAGACTTTAATATAACTGGATGCCAATCAGCCAGCCAGCCAGCCAGCCAGCCAGCCAGCCAGCCAGCCAGCCAGCCAGCCAGCCAGCCAGCCAGCCAGCCAGCCAGCCGCCAGCCAGCCAGCAGCCCCAGCCAGCCAGCCAGCCAGCCAGCCAGCCAGCCAGCCAGCCAGCCAGCCAGCCAGCCAGCCCAGCCAGCCCAGCCACCAGCCACCAGCCAGCCAGCCAGCCAGCCAGCCAGCCAGCAGCAGCCAGCCAGCCACCAGCAGCCAGCCAGCCAGCCAGCCAGCCAGCCGCCAGCCAGCCAGCCAGCCAGCCAGCCAGCCAGCCAGCCAGCCAGCCAGCCAGCCTTCTGCCTTTATAACACTGCTGCCTGATATTCGAGGGGAGTGCTCCAATCTGATATTCACACATTTGTCAGTGAGTATCAGTTTCACGATTACCTGATTATTCATAAAACGTGAATTGATCACTATCAGTGTATTTTCGTCTCCCTATGTTAATGTATCAAAATTGCTTATGGTCACATGGATGCATATAAGGTTGACTTGACTTGGCTTCATTTCAGTTCAGTTAGGTTGATTCAACTTCATTTCAATAGACTTGGCTTAACTTCACTTATGTTGTATGTATGATTATTATTCGCGACTTGATTAGTTATTTGATTAAACTGTGTAGAATGGAAGACGAAGATGTAATTGGAAAGGAAAATATTTGTTCACTGGCTAGTTCGGTCAATCAGTTTTTTTTTAGTGGAGATGTCTAACTATTAATTTTCAAGATGTTGTTATACCTTTACTAAAATACTTATTAGAAGTTAATGTTATTCAAATAACCGGTCAAATTAAACTTATCAATTTACTACATTTAAACAAAAAATCATACCTTTTTTCTTAATTTATCATATAATTGATCTATTTGATCAAAATTTCTGTTATCATATCGTTCATTCACCTTATCATTTTGAATTTTCTCTTGAGTTGTAAAATATTCTCTCTTTTTGTCCAATTTATCTATAAATCCTTCTGTATATAGACAAGAAACTGTTGAAACTGTTGTACACTTCTTTGATAATTGTTTATTTACAGTTGTATTCAAAACATTCATCTTCTCATGATTATCATCTATAAATAACCAATGATTTGAATTTTCATTGATATTAACATCATTTTCTGTGTTCACTGATTTTCCTTGAATAACATTTGATTGATTAGATAGTATATATGAATGATTATTTTTATCCTTGAATACAGGATTATCTTCCGTTGAAAACCAATGCATTATATGAATAGGATACTGTAATCACCTTAAAAAGTCTTATAAAATTTAGAAGTTGGGTTTATTGATTATTAAGTCTATTCTATAGTTGTTTATTTCCATAAGTTACACATTAAGTTGATTTTACTCTTTATTTGGATTAATGGTTATATAGATTATCCTATTTCATTTCTATATTCTCTAATATAACTATCTTATATTGTGTTTCTCTAGATTAAAGTATAAATTACAAATGTTGGTAGATGTTTTGTATTCAGTGTCAAGGGCAACGAGAAACAATTTCAACCAATCAGGTAAAAGAGACTGATGTAAGTGAGGATTGATAATTCACGCCCATAATTGACTAAAGAAATATATAATTGATACTATATATATATATATATATATATATATATATATATATATATATATATATATATATATATATATATATATATATATATGGCCAATACATTACCACTGAACTATTGGGTTGGACAGGTATTCAACGTCGATATGAAAAGAAGTTTGTGATATATCCCGAGTTGACAGAAGTAGGCAAATGTAGAACACAGCAGCTTAATGGTATTAGATTCATTACGTAGCCTAAAGGTCATATGTTCGATCACTAGTGAAATCATGGGTGCGCACCTTTGAGAAGTCTCATAATAGGGAGAAACAACTGTAGTCTAGCGCTTTGAGGTTTCCAGTGGTTCTCCGACTGATGTCATTCAGAGGTGGATACCAACTTGGAAACAAGAAGTCCTTACAAACCTTTTAGATTGTGAAAGACACTTCTAGCAACATTTTCAGGAAAAATTTAAGACTTACACTAGATATGCGTTACCTTCAGCTTCATAAATTCTTTCTGAAGTTTTCTCATAGAAAATTCCATGAAAATGAAATTTCACTATATTTTACCTGGTGACTAGGATTAGAATCTAAGAAGCATGTTTCGATGTATTTTATGTCTTATCCGCCAAATGCTTCTGAATTCAAATGACTGATAGTTTCTCCACTAAGACTCGAATGCAGAATATATTACTTCAAACATAAAACCGTAATCCACTAAACCATTAAGGAATGATGATCATCTATTGTACAACGGATACCAGTTTATATTCATTAAAAGTTGTAATCTACCATTATTATACTGGATCGAATTGCTCAACCTCTGTTGGTAGATAGCCTACTAGTGGAATCCAAGACGTACGTTCCATCCCATTTGGAACTTGTCAGCTGGACGTATCTCATCATCATCATCATTATCAACATAGGACCAGGCATTACTGCGTAACGGTCCGAGTTGCCACACCTCATATCACTACATCAAGTAAGAAGGTAGTGAGGTGAAGGATGAAGATAAGTGAATGCAGTCAAAGAAATATAAAGTACGAGAGGAAAGGAAAGAGGAGTGACAAAATGGTGAGATTAGGTATAGCGTTGTTAAGATGAGGATAATGTGTGTATACATCTGCACCACTGACTTCGGTACTGAGCCATATCACCTAGGGTCTCCAACCACTCGTTCCTCATGTCCCGTGGGCCCCAACCACCTAGTCTGCATCATCCTACATGGCTTAAACCAACAGTTAAACACTTCATACATTGGTGACATGTTTTAGTCTGGCCACCTCGGGCCTTTTTCCAGCCTGGACCCACCTCAGCCAACATTGTGTGATGAGGCATACGTAGTACGTGTCCCAACCATCTCAGTCGATGAAGGTTCACAACCTCGTCAACTGACTTACCTCTTCTCCCCAAAACTCTACACCTAACTTCTGCATTACTCACGTGGTCACACCACGGAATATGGCCTATATTACGAAGGCAACGGTGGTCAAACTCCTGAAGCCTTTTTGTATCCTCCACTTTCAATGGCCATGTTTCACAGCCGTATAGAAGAACAGAGCGGACTGCTGTGCAGTACATGCGACCCTTAAAAGACAAACGAATATCACGGCGGCGCCATATGTGGCCCAAATTGGCAAAAGCCAATCAAACCTTTTGTATCCGTGCAGAAATCTCATCGGCAACTAACCCACCAGGGCTGATCCTACTTCCCAGGTAAGTGAAGTGGCGATGCAGATACGCTGGACGTATCTACATCTAGTGAGTAATAGTGTTCTAACGGGGACTCGAAGAAGTCAGTTCAACTAGTTTGATTCAGCATAACAACAGGAGAATGTAAATATCAATCAATGAAGTTTTACTCTTTGATTTCACTAAAGTAACTCTAGGTTCGAGTATCGGCAACCTAAATGATAAGCGAAAGTTAAGGTATCTTAATGAGACAGTCATTTACACAACTTGAGTTAACTAAATGTGTTCTCTTTCTTCTGAACTAAGGAGAAAATGCAAAAAAATTCAACATTGTTTACATTTGAATCGTTAAGATTACAATTTCTGTGTAATGTTTTGCTTAGTGTTCAGCTGTTTCGTCTTAGTATGGGACTCCCCAGCCGCGCGCACCCACGACCTCTCAAAATTCAGTTGATCTGGTACACATTGGTGATAACTTCGAGAGGTATTCCCGAAGTTCCAATGAGAAGTCTTGACCAGTGGGGGCAAAGCCTGATGGTCGTGAGGAGAGTTACTCAGCGATGACATTGGGTAGCGGTTGCGCTATATCGTGAACTAACAGAAGTTGGAAATATGGACCATTGGGTTGTGACCCAGTGTCTAGCTTAATGGTAGCTTGCTGGCCGTGGAACCTGAAGGTTGCGGGTTCGGTCCCTGGCGGGGTGCGGTCGTAGGTGCTCACTGCTGAGGATTCCCATCAAATGGGACGAAACAGCTGTCCAGTGCTCCTAGGTTCCCTTTGTTCCTCCAAATGATGTCTGTCTACGATGAATAACAACTTGAAATATTTCCAAATCCCCACAACTCCCTAAGAATTATTTTATTTTATTTTACCTTTATCCACCTACTTTAGCATCAGTTTTCAAACTGATGTTATGTTAGTAACAGCTAAAATCTACTTTTAAATGATTATTTACTTGTGTTAACCAATAGAATTCAACAAGATGCCAAATGTATGCAACTGATGAGTGCTACATAAGTCAAAAAGCACATTTTAGAATTCCTTCACAAGTCATCAACAGATACTTCATATGGTATTTACATTATTTTACCTAAATAATACAACAGTTATCAAAGCTGTCACATTAATAATGTAGCTATAGTGATTACTCAAAAGCAAGACAGGCGTTCATTAGCCTGAAACCAGTGTGGAGATCTTCTGCACTCAGCATGCAGAACAAGATACGGATTTTCAACACCAACTCAGTCAAGTCAGTGCTTCTGTATGGCTAAGAGACTTGGCGCGTCACGAAAGGGATTTCCAATACACTACAGACATTCACCAACAACTGCCTAAACTGGCTCGCTACTGAAGATTAGATGGATTACCAGAAAGAATAAGTAACAAGGTGCTCTGGGAACGAACCAACGAAGCAAGAACCTATCACCCAACAAATATGCACTGGAAGGAAGTGGAGATGGATTGGCCATGCACTGAGAAGGCCGACTGAGGACATCACGCGTCAGGCCAGTTGCTCGAGTGGAATCCCCATGGGAAGCGACGAGTTGGACGTCGGTGCCGAGGGTGACATGGAGGAGGTCGTGCGAGGAGGAAATGCGAGCTTCTGGGCTGTCGTGGGACCAGGTTCAAAAGATGTCAGAGAACAGAGGTCACTGGAGACGTGCTACTGAGGGGGTATGTTCCACTAGGAACCCAAGGGACTAATATATATAGTGATTACTCGACTTTTTTTGATCGGATTACTAATTCTGTTAATATTCTTCAGCTAAACATAATATTGTAATCAGGTTATCAAGATTAAAAACCACTTAAGTGAACAAAGAATAATCCTTCCGATAACTTTGTCAGTTTCTAAAGTTATACTGTTTAATTTCGTGTCAATAATGTTGAGATTTCGTTTATCAGTTGGTTGATAATATTCTATAGTTCAGTGGAACTTATTTCAAAAACGTCTTGTGTGATACTTAATGTCAGAATCAGTTTCTACTGAAATTCAAGTCGAAATAGCCAATTATCTAAACGATTATACAGTCTAGGTAATACTAATAAGGTGATAATTTTGTAACGCATTTGAAATCTTAGTCATTCACCTTCCTCGTTTTCAAGCTCTATCGTGCATCAGTTATCTTTTATTATTAATTGTAAGTAAATACTGTGCAGTTTCTGAGTCATCTGTTCATGTTTTTTCGCTTGCTCTTTTCTCTTCCAGATTCTCGTAATCGCCACCAAACTCATACTACTCTACGTGTCCCACTGCAACAACGTACCTATCTACAGGTTAGACGAAAATGTATCAATAGCTGGTCATTACAGTTTAATAAAACAGTGGGAATATGTTTATGACAGCTGGATGAAATAAACTGAAGAAAGATAATTTGAAGAATATTAGCTTGTGTGCAGCACTGTTTCAACTACAGGCAGCACAGATGAGGACGTCAAAGCCAGCCAGGAACAGAAAGATAGCAAGATAGGCATTCATTAGCCTTAAACCAGTGTGGAGATCTACTGCACTCAGCATAAAGCGTGAACAACATCCAGATTTTCAACACCAATGCCAGTCAAGTCAGTGCCTCTATGTGGTGGTTGAGAGACTTGGCGCGTTACGAAAGGCATTTCCAACAAATTACAGACATTCATCAACAACTGCCTACGCTGGCTCGTTACTAAAGATCAGATGACCAGAATAATAAGGATAAACAACAAGGAACTCACACTGGCTGGTTGCTGGCCAGTTGCCAGATGAGAAACGACGAGTTGGGCGTCCCAGCTGAGGGTGAGCTGGAGGAGGTGGTGTGAGAAAGAAATAAGAGATTGTGGGCAGTCGTGGAACCAGGTTCAAAAAATTACAGAGTGCACTGGAGACGTGCTACTGAATCCCTATGTTCCTCTAGGAACCCAAAGGACAAATACTGGTAATAATAATGTTAATTATGTTGAGAACAATAGAGATTAAGAGAATGTAATGAAATTATTTCAAATTATACGGATGTCTAAAATGTGGAAGTTGAAAAGTAGATTATCTGCAGTTGGATATGAATGAATTTGTAGGGTGTCTGTGTGTGTTACTATTCCGTAACATTTGACCAACTTAACTTGACGTGCTCTAGTACCTGCTTAACCAGTACCTTATCTAATATGTGAGTACTGATAACGATACACAAATCTAAAGGACTGGTTCGGGAATGTATTTAATTAGAGTAAATGTAATAGTAATGAATTGGGGGGGGGGGGGTGGAAGTTTATTCAACTTATCTGGCTAGTATGGCTGAGCTAAGGACTCTGAGTACGTGCATACTAACCAGCACTAAGGAATAGCAAAATGGCGTCCAAGTCTGCTTGGGTGTATGCTCGTTAAAACAAAACTTAAAACACCTAGAGAATCCGGAGGCGAGTTAGAGGTTTATTTATTTAATTTAATCTATTTATTTTAGCCCTAGTTGTATTTTGGTGCCAGGAAGGTGCACTACAAATTTGTTTATCGTTAATCGAACAGTAGTAGTTGTAGCTATAATACTTGGGTTTTTCGAATACATAATTCCGATTGTTTGATGATGATTGTTACTCTTTCTTCAGTCTGAAGGATTTAGAGCCGGATATCTTTTGGAAAGTTAATGGGAACTCAGAACGACTTAATCATACCCATTATATAGCTTGTTTCAACTAAATGTGATAATATGGAACTGGTAATAATCTTTACCTCACTTTTACTTGACCACACTCGATGTTCATGAGGACAGAAAATTAAACTCTTAGAGAGGTGATCGACATAGCTGACTTCACAGGAGTAGTCTAAGTGATAAATACAACATAAAGTGATCAGTCAAGGTAATTCATCTTTCTGAATTTTCTGAGTATTTTTAACCCATCCTTGTTGTTTTCATATACAATAAAAGTATCCTCCTTACATTGATGGTAAAAGGAAAATTCTTTGATAAACTATTCAAATAAACTGTTCTCTAATTAGTACGGGAAAATGTCCTGTGATATGAGACGCAGTCGTGAGCCCATTTGAAATCAAGAGTCCAAACCACTGATGATGATGATGATGAGATGCGTAGCTACTATTCTACCATCACTTATGGTCGAAGTTGTAACTAAAGAAATACAGTTATGAGAAATTGAAACACTTCAGTAGATCTAGTATTTACTATTACTGGGTGAACTACACGAAACCGTAATTCGTCGACGTCTGTTTCAGTCATAAAATAGTTTCAAATTCGAAGAGTATCATTCATATAGTTTATAAATGTTCTTTTGAAAGTCAACTGGATAAAAGTTGTTATAATTCATGAAATGAATACTTCAATAACGATTTGCGTTTCAAGAAACTATGATATGTGAGTAGAAATTTCAGTTAAATTTTGAGGGGGTTGTGGAGATTTGGAAATAATTCAAGTTGTTATTCATCGAAGACTGACATCAGTTGGAGGAACAAAGGAAACCTGGGAGCACTGGACAGCTGTTTCGTCCTAATATGGGAATCCTCAGCAGTGCGCACCCATGACCCCACCAGCGGGGGTCGGACCCGCGACCTTCAGGTCCCGTGGCCAGTGCGTTACCATTGAGCTACTGGGTCAGAATCCAATGCTCCATATTTCCAACTTCTGTTAGCTCACGATATAGCGCAAACCGCCACCCAATGTCATCGTTGAGTATTTGTCCTCACGGCCATCAGGCTTTGACTCCACCGGTCACGACTTATCATTGGAACTTCGGGAATACTTCTCGAAGCTAGTCACCAACGAGCACTAGTTCAATTAAATTTTGAGGGGGTTGTGGAGATTTGGAAATATTTCAAGTTGTTATTCATCGAAGACTGACATCAGTTGGAGGAACAAAGGAAACCTATACTAGGACGAAACAGCTGTCCAGTGCTCCCAGGTTTCCTTTGTTCCTCCAACTGATGTCAGTCTTCGATGAATAACAACTAGAAATTTCAGTGTTATGACACATACAAAGCATGTATTAACGTTTAAAGAAAATCTACGACAATGATAGGACAGCTATTCAATAAAACAAATGATAGTGTTTTCCTGTTTGAAATGATAGTTACTAGGTGTGAGTGAGTCCCAGTGGGGACACTAAAACACTAGAAAGCATGTATATCTAGTTGACTAATCGTGAACAGAATGAAATGCAGATCCTTGGTTTCACTGTTAGTCAAGATTCATTGAGAGTAACATGATGACCATGCATTTTTAAAGAGGAATCCCTCACAGTTCCAAAAAAAGACATTGTTTATGAATATTGGTTTCAAGGGAGATACAGAGATACTTAACAATCGACTGCAGATAAACTTCTTTCCCGCCCAACTTTGGACTTTTTTTCTTCTCTAGTTAATAACTGATTCTAAGGTGTATAAAGGATAAATAACCGCTTTGAACCACCTTCATGTGTACTTACCAACTCACCTACTCTTGTGGAGCTGGTTCCATTGACCGCACAAAGCCTGTCTTATCCAAATGCATCTCCATTCACTATCCTGAAGGAGAGTGCAAGCTCGATTCTTGAGCATCGGGTCACCTTTACTCTTCAAGAATCCTATTTCAAAGTCATCTGTGAAGTGAAATGAAACATTTAGAAGGGAGTCCTGATTAGCCATGTGAATACAGCAGAAGAATTGATGATTCATTAGTCTCTACCTTGGTAGTAACCTCCCAAGGACATTTTCGATGACCTTCTGGTTGTTATCACCTTGTAACTTCATTGACCACTGGTGGACATAAATTTTGTTATCCATAGAATTATGAATGTAGTTTCTAGAAGTGATTCATCACAAAATGGAATTCTCTTTGCTAAATTAGTTTTTTGTTGATTTTTCATTGCTTAATTAGACTATTTTCATGGTATGTAATATGAATTTCATACTTGACTACTCATTTCCTACTTTTCCTCAGTACTGTTGGGTTTCAAACTCATATTGGTATGCCTAAATGAACAATTTATGGAGCAGTGTTAGTTTATGTTTCAATAACTCTATCTTGAATATTTCTATTTGTCAAAATCACGTTCAGTGCATTTGTGAATTGTTATAAAATGCCGTCAAGTAAAATATGGTCATAAATTTGATTATGTTGTATTTTGTAGCGTGTTGACACTATAATTATATCAGTTGTCTGACGTTTTATTCTCAGTGGAATTAGATTGAAAGGAGTTGGCTGATGAGAAATAAGGCAGAATCATTGGTCTAAAATATCTCTTGTCTTCCTATTTAGAGTGTATGAGATTAACAAACCCACTGATTGGGAGCTCTTAATGATAAGATTATGTAACCTAATCAATGGACGCACAGACATGTTCACACAGTACTCCTTTCCCACCTTTTCATTATCATATGGTTTGTCATAACTGCTGATAATAGAATAACTCTTATCTCTGTTCCCTCGTCAACTTCTCCCTTGATATAAGGTTATAAAGCGTGGTAACTGGAATCAATTATGTGGGCATTTCTAATCGTATTTAAACAACTTTTGTCTGACTCTAGTCAACTGTATATTTTATGCATAAATTGACATACAACTAGACATAAATAACTAACAACAATTTTCCAGTCTAATGAAAAATTTCAGTTTACAATGGTAAAACCAATAACATCATATCAAGCATAGTGAAGTTTTTTCCTATGGTCAAGATGGAAATATAAATGCTTTCAAGCAAAGTTCATCATCATCAATATCAACCTAGAATCAGGCATTACTGAGTAACGGTACGAGTTACCACACCTCATATCACTACATCAAGTAGAAAGGTAGTGAGGTGAAGGATGAAGATAAGTGAATGCAATCAAAAGATATATAAAGTAATCAGAGAGAGAGAGAGAGAGAGAGAGAGAGAGAGAGAGAGAGAGAGAAGGAAGAATGACAAAGTGGTGAGATTCGGATAATGTGTGTATACATCTGCAACACGGACATCGGTTCTCAGTCACATCATCACCTACAGTCTCCAACCACTCGTTCCTTTTATGTCCCCCCTCCCCCACGGACACCAACCACCTAGTCTGCATCGCCCAACATCGCTCAAACCAACAGTTAAACACTTCATACATTGGTGACATGTTTTAGTCTGGCCACCTCCAGCCTGGGCCTACTTCGGCCAACATTGTGAGATGAGGCAATCGGTGACTAGGCATACGTAACACATATGGGCGCCAACCATCGCAGTCGATAAAGATTCATAAGCATTCCAACAACTTTTTTTTTTACTTTTTAAATACAAGCTACACTGAAAACCAGCAAATACTTGTCACAATACACACATGTAATATTGTCACAATCAGGACAAATTTGAGGGGAGAGGAAAGGGATATCATCATAGGTGGTTTGCTTAAACCTTGAGCTACCAAGAAATTTTTCCCACTGAATATATATTCTCAGTTTATTTTTGAAATCACCTGCAAGATCATTACTTTTTTGATGTTTTCTTGTAACACAGTTAATGGTTATACAATACCTACGATTGTCCAACTTTACACCTCAGCTGACAGTGTTTTACAACAGCCACCTGAAAAACCATAATCTCATTACTGCTCCTCCCCCCCCCCTTCCAACATATATCACTTCACATTAACTGTGACCGAAGGGGGGGGGAACAAAATCGCTTTCTCAAAAAGGTAAGCCAAGTAGGAGATGATCAAAAGATGATTTATATACAATCGATAAATTACAGGATAAAATAATAATCAAAAAGGGGGGCAGGGACTGATTAAACTAATCAGTAGCGCTTATTGAAAGCAATTAAAATATACAAAATAGACAGTTTACTATCTCTTGTACCAAACAGGAAAGTAAGAAAATCTTCATAAATTGTAAAATGATAAAGAAATCACTTTTGACATTGTTATCCAAAAAGTATTGCCTCCACTTTCATGTTAAGACGACCTTGACGTTTGATAGCAGCACGATTATGCCGTTTCAATTGACGATTGAAATTAATTTGTTTTTGGTGTCTTCTTTCACGACGTTGACGTTCACGAATCTCTTCAACAGTAATCATGGAAGGTATCTAAAATACAAGTGTAAATTGTTAGTTCTATGCAATCTATCTATCTATCTATCTATCTATCTATCTATCTATCTATCTATCTATCTATCTATCTATCTATCTATCTATCTATCTATCTATCTATCTATCTATCTATCTATCTATCTATCTATCTATCTATCTATCTATCTATCTATCTATCTATCTATCTATCTATCTATCTATCTATCTATCTATCTATCTATCTATCTATCTATCTATCTATCTATCTATCTATCTATCTATCTATCTATCTATCTATCTATCTATCTATCTATCTATCTATCTATCTATCTATCTATCTATCTATCTATCTATCTATCTATCTATCTATCTATCTATCTATCTATCTATCTATCTATCTATCTATCTATCTATCTATCTATCTATCTATCTATCTATCTAGAGAGACAGAGAGAAGGGGGGGGGATATATTTAGATTGCCATAAAAACAAGCTAATCAACTTACAGTTTTAACTTTTGTCACTCGTACACTACTAGTATCATCTTCTTCAATTGTATTACATTTCTTATCCTGTGAATGACATTCTTCATCATTTTCAGATTCTGTTTGGTCATCTGTTTGTGAATCACTTGTAGAATCGGTATCGTTCAATTCGGAATCATAGTTTTCTTGAGTTTCACTGTTTTCTGATGATGACAATTGTAGTCGAGCAACAGTACCCAATAGAGAATTATCTATTACATGTTGAATTCTACGATGAGTTGCATTCTTAGGAATATAACCAGGAGCTTTCAACTGTACGTCGATATCATTATAACGTCTGTATATGAATATAAAACAGTGATAGAATATTAACATTTCATCTAAAAAACAAAAAAACTTGGTACATGAACACTGAGGGGGTGTGTTATACTACTGTAGTGGAGGATAGATGGACTAAATCATAGTATGCTATCTCGATTTGATGCGAAAACCTGAGTGAACTCGAGAAGCCTTATCAATCAACTGACTTTCCTCTCCTTGCTAAGAACCTAACACTTAACTTCAGTGTTACTCGCATGGTGACACAGCGAACTCCATAAAGGTGATGACCTCAAAGGCCGAGTAAGTCGGTAAAAGCCAATAGAACCATTTGTATCCGTGTTGACTAACGGCAGTACAGCTGAACCGACTTACAAAGTAAGACAATTGGTCAATAAACTCACCTACTTCCCTCGCTATTTTTACCTGGAGCATCGTTGAAGACAAGTTCTGCAGTAACAATATGCATTCAGATGGCGTGAAACAACATCTCTGAAATATCCTTAAGTGAATGAAAACTAGAGAGATATTAATACAAGAAATAAAGGTATTCAGTCACTACAAGTCAACTTATATTGAACCTGTGAAGTTTACTCTACGGAAATTAGGTAGTTCACTGGAAAGTTCCCATGAACTTGAAGATTTTGGGGCAGTACTAGATCACAAGGCAGACAAAACTTTTGTATGAATAGCAATTAACAGTAATATGTCATCAGGTTGAATGAGTTTGCTGAAAATACGAAAAAACAGTGAAAATAATGCTTATATATAGTCTCCCAATCTATCTCTACGAAGTGACTACATTTATCAGGTACTGAATATTGAATTCTATCTCAAATGTTAATTCTGTTATAGAAAAAGAAAAGCTTAGACGTGGTAATGCCACTAGCTGAAGTTTATGCACACGTGATAAGGTATGATGAAGGTACCTTTAAAAATTCTACAACGGAGAACCAATAAGTGGTTCGTTCATGTAATTTGGTCCTGATAGTCATGTTTTGCGAGGCACTGTGTTCAAGCAAAAGGATATCCACAAAACGATATGGATTTCACCAGACACTAGGACACACTAAAAATCAGATCGACTTTATCTCAATCTCAAGAAAGTGGAGACAGCCTACTGTACACAAGATCACATCAAGAAGACGAGCAGATGTAGGTTTACACCACTCACTACCTAGTGCAAGGAACTTTCCAAATCAACTTGAAAGCCTTCAAGGAAGCTGGTGATAGACAGCAGTTCAAGTTCAACACCCAGAACAGAAAGAGAAGGACGAAACTACAAAGGAAATATTCACATCAGCCATCAAGACAAAATGGGAGATATCGAGGAAGATCCATGAAGAAACCTGTGTGGATGAACACTGGAACTCTGAAGGCTATGTTGAAAGAAACCTGCATAACCGTATTAGGAAGGAGGAAGAAAGAAGACTAGAAAGCAATGGATCTCGACGAACATATGGAAGCTGATAGAGGAGAGGAGAATGGTGAAGCAGAAGACGAAGAAGTGCAAGGATGAACGATGAGAAGACGAACTGAGTACAACGTGTAAAACATTGCACTGGACAAAAAAATGAAGAAGAGTGAGCGCAAAGACAAAAGACACTTCTACGAAACACTGGCAAGTGAAGCAGAACAGCCTGCCGGCTAGTAGGAGAGACAGAGACCTGACAACACTGTAACTATCTGGGAAGAGATCAACACAGATGAAACCAATAAAAGATGATGAAGGAGATCTAATTACCAAAGAAGAGAAACAAAGGAAACCATGGGTCGACCACTTCAAAAAGCTCTTGAATCGACCACAACCACCACCTGCACTTCATCCAGAAATACCACCTGCAGCCAGCCACAGAACTCCAAGTGAACACAAATCCTCCAAAAAAAGTCGAAATCCTGAGCGTCATAAAGCTACTGAAATGCAGGAAAGCAACATCACAAGATGGAATCCCGCCAGGACCACTGAGAACACACGCAGAGACAACAGCGGACATGCTCATACCACTATTGCAGAAGGTGTGGAAGGAAGGGAAGGTATCTGGCGATTGGAAGAACGGTTACCTCGTCAAACTCCCAAAGAAGGGCGATCCAAGCCTTTGTAAAAACTGGCACGGAAGCATGCTCTTGTTCACCCCAAACAAAACATTAAGCCGCATCATCCTGGAGAGACTAAAGGATGCGCCGGATTCAAAACTACAACTAGAACAGGCTGGATTCAGAAAGTAAAAAAATGAGCGGACAAAATTGTAACGCTTCGCATCATCATAGAACAGACTACAGAATGGCAGTCGACTTCGACAACCTTGAAAAAACCTTCGACAGCGTCGACCGACAAGTAATTCATCAGGCAGTTGCTTCAACACTACGGAAAACCACAAACCTTTAACAATCTCATTCAACAACTGTCAATCAATCATCATCAACATAGGATCAGGCATCACTGAGTAACGATCCAACTTGCCACACCTCATATCACTACATCAAGTAAAGAGGTAGTGAGGTGAAGGATGAAGATAAGTGAATGCAGTCAAAAGAAATATAAAGTACGAGAAGAAAGGAAAGAGGAGCGACAAAATAGTGAGATTCGGTATGGCGTCGTTAAGATGAGGATAATGTGTGTATACATCTGCAACACGGACATCGGTTCTCAGTCACATCATCACCTACAGTCTCCAACCACTGGTTCCTCTTGCCCCCCCCCCCCACGGACACCAACCACCTAGTCTGCATCGCCCCACATCGCTCAAACTAACAGTCAAACACTTCATACATTGGTGACATGTTTTAGTCTGGCCACCTCCAGCCTTTTCCTGGCCTGCACCTACTTCAGCCAACATTCTGTGACGAAATAATCGGTGACTAGGCATACGTAACGCGTGTACCAACCATCTCAGTCGATAAAGGTTCACAACCTGGTCAACTGATTTACCTCTACTCCGCACCCCTAAAACTCTACACCTGACTTCTGCATTACTCATGTGGTGACACCACGGAATATGGCCTATGCTACGCAGGCAACGGTGGTCAAACACATGAAGCCTTTTCATATCTTCCACTTTTAATGGCCATGTTTCACAGTCATACAGTAGAACAGAGCGGACTGCTGTGCACTACACGCGACCCTTAAAAGACAAACGGATATCACGGCGGCGCCATATGTGGCGCAAATTGGCAAAAGCCAATCGAACCTTTTGTACCCATGGAGAGATTTCACGAGCAATTAGCCCACCAGGGTTGATCCTGCTTCCCAGGTAAGTGAAGTGGTTAACAAACTCAACCACTTCACTCACTATCTATTGTTAGCCATGCTACCGCTGAAAACCAGTCCTGGAGCAAAAATTTGCATTTCGGTGCTGAAAATCGCATCCCAAACACTCAAATTCACACTCAAAGTGTTCAGAAGACTCTGCATCTTGTCAGTGTCCTCACCTAACAGGACTATGTCATCTACATATTCTAGGTCTAACGAAAATCCTCCTGTGATAGGGTCAACGTCTGTGTAACCCGGTGACTAGAGGGAGACCTCCATAAGAATTTCTATCATGAAATTGAATAAGAATGGGGACAGTGGGCATCCTTGACGGACACCACTAAACAGTGTACGCCGGCCGGTAGTCGAACCGGGTCGCAACCGTGGGAAGGTTGCATGATACTGCCACACTACCGGCGCAAGTGCCTACCATAGAGTTAAACAGTTAACAGTACATAGAATTTATACAAAACATTTATAATCGCTCTGAGTTACTGAACTCAAATTACGTTTTGAAACATTGCTTTACCAATCAGTCAGTGAATCAGTGTTTTAATTAATAAAAAAGTTTTACACGCTTATGAGGAATCCACTATGAAACAGAACTATACAATATAGAGAAAGCTTACTTACTTGATAGTATGAAGGGGAGATGGTAGATCACTAGTTGGAATATTAAAATATCGACTAAAGAAGTTAGTAACACCATCTGCATCTCGTTCATAAATGCTGAAGGGATAGATATGTAAAAAACAACAAAAATAAGACGGTTATGATAATATTGTTTCAAGATAATATAACTCTGGAAAGCACATGAGTACTTCTCTTTGAAATCCTTTCTTGGAAACTAAGTATATATGTAGTACACATTCCCCATCAACGTATTCTATTACTCAGAAAGTATGACCACTAAATTGCATAACATTATTTCCGCTTCCATATATAACCCTTTGCCCGAAAAAAAACCGTCCATAGCATTTTGATTTCGTATTTTCCCAAGAAAAAAAATACCCTAGAAAAGTATTGCTGACAAAAATTCAGTCGATTTTCTCCTCTGTTCACACTAAACAGTCATGGCAATAGAATAGTTTAAACTGTTGTGTTGTATCTCAGACGCATGATTTGAATTTCGTTGCGAAGATGGCGTTACATGATTATTACATACACGTTTCTATATCAACATTGACGGACAAGTTATCTCAGTGACCTCTTCAGATAGGCTAGACTATCCTGCTTTTAACGAAAACAGTAAACCTGACAGGCAACAAGGACATGTCAATCTTAGTTTTTAGGGATGAATGGTAGTACAAGTGCTCATGCGAAATAGTACATATTACACGTATGTATCTACTTCTAAAGAGTCAGTACTAAGCACATACCCCTAAATCCTATGGTACGCGTTCATGGTCTCTGTCAGAGAAGTCCTATTCACTGTCTTCACGTGGCGTGGGTGTTTTCATAGATGTGAAAAAGCGCAAGCGAATGTCCGGTGCTTATCACCAGATTGGTGGATACTGAGGGTCCACCTTGAGGAGTTGGAAAACCCTGTTTCAAACCAATGGTGCTCGTGGGCTTCAGGTTCCAGATTAAAAGAATGGCGTATGAACCCATTTTGGTCACCCGCAATCATGGGAATGCAGCTCCACTGCCTTGTGGATTAGACTTTAAGTAAAAGACTCAGGGAGCGGTTCGCTGAGACAACCACCTGCTTCGGTCTGGGCCCCGGGCAGTATCCCAGCCCTCACCATAAACTTACAATACAAAAATAAGATTTCGAAGCTATTAACCAACTTTTCTGTGAATACTGAAGCTTTCCATCCAGCGGACTTTTTAACTGATTACTCAATTTATTGCTAGTTTTTGTTATTACACATGAACTGCATTTTTTTTATCATTAACATTTTCGTCTTTATCTTAACTTTAGTCAACTACTCTTCATTGCTTAGACTTTTGGTCCGTCTGTACCATTTTCAGCCACTAAACAGTTGCCCCTATAAAGTTGTCTTCCAATACGGCATCTGACACAGCTATCCTGAAACCACGCGTACCGTTTAAGCTCGCAACCTTTAAAGTTCGCACTTTGATGCAGATTGGACAAGACAGGTTGGCTAAGACTCGGGAAAGTCTCGCTATTGATGTATAATGCATCGCGGAGACTCTCATACAAGATCCCAGTGAAGTGCTTCGAATTAGTCGCCCATCTGTCAGTTCGGAAAAGATGTTTCATGTGTGTTTATCCGGTGAACCTAGGGCATTAGCAACCGACCTCAATGATGTCAGTGTCATACTAAGCACTCAAGCCGAAGCTGCACTACTCAACTGATACCCACAGTCATCTGTGTGCTGTTAGACTAAAAGGTTCACCTCGATTAAGAAGTAACCGGTAAGAGAAACAACGTCTCTTTGTTACCTCCATCTATGCTCCGATGGATTGCAGTTGAGATGCAACTAAGGATGAATTCTATCATCAACTGAATAACCTCAACTAGTTGCGCTCGACGGATATTGTAGTGTTAGACGGGGACTTGAATGCGCAGGCCTGGCGTTTCGACTCAGAGGAGAGTTGTTTAGGTGGCCAATGGAGACTAGCTGGATGCAGGTCGGATAATGGGGAGCGTCTTTTGCAACTTTGCGCAGATCACTACCTATTTCTAGCCAGTACCAACTTCCGACACAGTCATCGCCGTTGTGCTACTTAGCATCCTTCCTATGCTACTCAAGCTTGGACTCAAATAAATCATATTGCAATCAGCTACCAATGGCGTGGGTACATACAGGACTGTCGCTTCATAAAAAGTACTTGCCTGGACTCTAATCATGCTTTAGTGTGTGCTAAGCTTGTTTTGCATTTTGGTGGCCTTTAGAACCGTTGTTCTAAACAGGTTGGTGAAAACAAATTATTTATACCCAGCACTGCAGCTAAATACCAATTCAAGCTCGATTTGAGGCTAGCTACCGATCCTCCAGAAACTGTAGACGAGCATTGGCTGCACGTGCAAGACGCTGTGGAAATGGCGAGTAAAGTCGCTTGCAGCTTGGAAGAACGTCCCGTTAATAAACACTGAGTCTATGAGCTTCCTGAAACTTCTTGATGCCTATAGGACCATCCCGCGGATAGCGAGTACAATGGTTGGTGTAAGTTTCTTATGCGAAAGATTACACAACGCTTACGCAGAGACCGTGAGGCTTGATGGTCAGAACACGCGAATGAGATGGAAGCAGCAGCTGCATCCGGCAATAGTCAGAAGCTGTTCTAGCTCATCCGAGCCACTGGAGGCAAGAAGCCAGGTGTCAGGGAGACGATCTGTGAGGTAGATGGTATACCGATTAACAATCTTCAGATACCTGGAACGCTGGGTGGAGCACTTTGAAAAGCTGTTTAGCTAGCCCATGGCTCCACGATTGTCAGCTTCAGTGTATCGTGCTGCACGGTCAGTTAACATTGACCCACCTGATGAAGCAAAGGTCTATAAAGAACTCCAAGTTCTGAAACGCTACAAGGCACCCGGCCCAGACAACTTACCCCCGACTCTTTTTAGGGATGGAGGAACGACACTAGTCAAGGGGACTGACTACATCGTTTGAAAGCGTATGGCAGATTGAGTGTTCCATCACTCTGGAATCAACTCATTGTTGTGCTCATCTTTAAAAAAGGCCTACGTATGTATGTGGCACTCATCGGGGTATTAGTCTGTTAACAGTAGCATCGAAAATATTGGCTGCTATCATACTTTGTAGACTTAGCAAAACACAAGGAAATGATTCGCGAGGAGCAGGCCAGGGTTTATTCAGGTAGTGGAAGCATCGATCATGTTTTCACCTTCCGCCGGATGCTTGAGCATCGCCACACGTATTGCAGGACAACGACCACTGTGTTGCTTGACATTAATGGTCGCTTCGATTTGTTGGACAGAGCTGCACTCTGAAACTGTCTTTTGGAGAGTCAGAGAAATTTCTTAACAACTTGAAATCTCTACATAATAACACCTTAGGTAGAGTGACAGCATGCAACCACATGTTTTTATAGTTCCAAACCAGCAGTAGGGTTGTGCACAGTTGCCCGATTTTCCATTTCTCTTGAACATTACCATCGATGACATTCTTGAGACAGCTCTGAAGGAAGTGTTTGATGGTGGTGTAGATCTACTACCCGGAGAACGGCTCCTGGACCTTGAATATGCAGATGATATCGTCTAACTGTGTGATAGTACACAGGCTGCTCAAGTGGCACTTAATCACTTGGGGATTAATATCCGTAAGTATGGTAAGAACTTTGCACCATTGGAGTGAAAAGTACTTTAGAGAGATTGACAGGAGCCTGTATTTGTGCCCATCCTTGGTGGTGAGCCGTTGGAAGTAGTCAAACAGTTCCCGTATCTGAGTAGTTGTGTGAGCGCTGGTGAAGGTGTGATGAAATTTCCAACCATGTATCGAAGGTCAGAGTGGCATACGACAATCCTGGTCACCTTTGATGCTGTCATGACGTCAGGTTTACAACGCTTCAGTGTGAGCAGTTTTATTTGACGTCTATGAAATTTGGAGTCACCGAGATGAGGATGTGTGATGACTGTGTCCGACCATCATTGTTTCCGTAGGATTGCTGGTATCCAGTAACAACATGTAAATAATTTTGAGGTACGGCAGTGTGGGCATGATGGTGACCACTATTCAATGAGTAAAGTCATCTGGAAATATCGGCTTCGGTGGCTTGGAGATGTGTAACGCATGTCATCCCAACGGCCTCCATACTGTTCATTTCTTGATAACCTTGGGACTAGATAGAAGTAGCGGACGGGTTGTCAGTGTATGACGTGGCACCACCATGGGATGAAGGATAGTCGTACCGAGTTAGCATGTGTTAGTGGTGAGGTTCGAGAGATCACGCAACTCAGCGACTTGAGACGTCATCAGACACAGCTCAGAATCAACATCAGTGGCGATCATACTGTGGATTCCTTCTATCTTCTGCTGCTGAAAAGTAATGAACTTTTTGTTTTGAATGTATTTTACTGGATCGCTCTTCTCTTCGATTTATGTCTTTATAATGTTGTTATATTATTTTGCGTGACGCATTTCTTGGTGCCCTTGCTGTAAAATGTTTGTGTTTTAGCAATAAAATAACAAGTATACGGCTATTTTGTCTAGTATAAAACAGTACTTGGTTAACAACAAAAGGTGATTTTTGTGCCTTATGCACCTCAGAAACTGTTGCAGAGCCAAAATTCGGTGCAGCAAACAAAGATACGGAAAACTTTTCGAAAACTAGCTTTAGACATTAAATTAATATATAGCCCCCCAGGTAAATAAAACAGCACATCAGTCAGAATATCGCAAATGAGAAAGTTAAAAGCTGCTAACGGGAATGACAGATCAATGAAAAAGTACCAAAAACTAAAGGGCGAAATAAAGTGCTAGTACATAACACTTTCCAGATTCCGGTAAATACAATGTGTGGATGAATATGAAGACTATCATTTAAATTCTACGACCATACGTATTTCTCCAGCCAACCTATTCGACTAGAACTATGTGTTAGAGTAGATGACTGAGAAAGCGTAACACCTGCCCCGCCACATGAATCTAAGCAACTGAGTCATTTCCTTTGCCTAAGACTAACCTCGATATTAGCGATGTAGTAGCACCACAACATGACCAATTGACCATTAGTTGATCAGATATCATCTACGTCTCGTAACTTATGATAAGTGAAGGAATCAAACTCCGTGAAATTAGAAAGCATAACCTGCATAAGTAGGTGTGAAAACGTTAAACACTTCAAAATAATACTTGACATAGACACTTCCGATGACCTTATAAACCCTGACAAGAATGAGGAGGGGTTCAGTAAGGTTATGTATATGGCACATACACTTGCGCCATATTTCTCTTAGTAAGCTTATCCCCTATTAGAAACGTATCAGTCGACTCTTCTAAAATTGTGGATGTTATGGAATTCTGTGAATCGAAATAAGTATGACTTTACAACAACTGAAATACAATCTAGTAAAGTAAAATGAACATGAGGGCAAAAAAGATAAAACTGAAGAACCAACCTGTTAGCTAGCTTATGATCACGGCTTATCATTTGCGGGAAATCAATAAGAACAAGTTTGGGATCACTATCTGGCGAAATGTCAGTATGTACATTTGATGCAGAGTCCAAATTCGTAACCATCAGATTGAACTCATTAAAATCACCATGGACAAGACCCAAAGAAGCAATTCTTTCTAATATGTCTTTTGCTTGATAATAAAGAGACCGGGCAACAGCAGATTCATTTGAAGTCAAAACACTTGGAAGCAGTCTGTATAGAGGTGAACTATCTTTCACATAAGACATCAACACAGCATTTCTGTTATGGGCATATGGTACTGGGACGGGGATGCCATTATTATAAAGACCCTAAGGAATATTGGAATTCAAAGTGACTCAATTACCTGCATCATCTGGAATTCACGCTTAGAGGCTAGTCGATCCAAATACAACCACGAACACTTGTTCCTGTGTTGGTGGTATTCCCTTTTATCTTTCACCTTTCTGAAAGATGTCCTTCCAAGCCGATGAAACTTGACGATAACTACTTCGCCTACATCTGGGAACTCTGTCAAGGAATTTTCTGATTCTTCTGTTGGTCGTCCACACCGTACACCGGCGATAGCCGTGTAAACGTCGGACTCTTTACCCGCCCCGACCATTGTTCCCAAATTAGTTAGTTGTTCTGACTTGAAAAATTGGTTCAGAGCAAGGTAGTCGTACCCCATGTTGGTGAGACGATATCCTTTCGTTGCTGCAAATGAAAAATATGCTGTTAGTCCTCAGTATCGCAAATATCACTGTAAACAACGAAGTTAAAGACTATGAGCAACTTAAAATTGCCCATAGACTGAAACAATGGCTTTCAAATAAGATCATGATCATCATAGGAAAAACTTACAATGTCTGTTATCCATTTCGTAGGCTACCAATCCATTCGGTATCAGATGTTCTTGAACTAGACGAGTGAAACTAGTACAGCTACGTTTAAGATGGGATATCTTGAGTGCCAACTCCGAAGGAACGACCTCATGATTTTTAAGTCCCATTTCAATCTAGTTAAATAGGTTTATTTATAGTTTCAATACTTACCGCAATCAGTGCACGCCAAGCCTCACCGCTTATGTATCTAAAACGATCCATTTTTATGCATTTTGGCATGGCTAGTGTAAATATCGGTGTGCTTAGCAAAATAATGCAAGTAGCAAGTAGAAGGATGTACCCACTGAGAACACGAAATCGGAGATGGTCAGCCTAGTCAATGCAGTCTGACACGCCGTAACGCATTCAATATCCAATATCCAATATTGATAGTGCGAGCGTAGAAAACTAGTAGTTTTTGATCTCTCGCGTCTAGTTCCTAGAGCTTGGTTCCAGTTGTTCGGTTCACTCCTGCAGTGGACGAGGAAATCCCCTCTGCTTTCTTGCTTTTAGCTTCGGTGAGGTGGATGTTTTGTGGGTTAGTAGGTTGTAATTTGTAGAGTGATTAGGGAGCTACGGGCTGCTGGGAAGTTTAGAGAACAACCGTGACTCCTGTCTGTGTAGGTACCTGAAAGAGAATATTAAGGTAGTGGTAAAGGAATGAAGAGAGAAATAAGGAAGAGTAAAAAAAAAATAAAGTAAAATAATAATAAAAAATAAAAAAATAAGCAAATAAATAAAATTAAAAATAAAAATAACAGTAATAATAATGTAGGGAAGAGGAAAGGGAAGGAGAATAAAAGAAGGGGTGAAGAGAGAAATGAGAACGAAAGAAAAGTATTTGGGAATTGCCCGAATGGTCGCGTGGGTTTGGTTCCTACAGAAGAATTAGTAGGTAATGTGGGTGTATTAAGGAGAGAGATAGTGAGTGGTAGTTAGGAGGGAGTTGAGGGGTACTGAGGTTGGTGACTACCTCAGTACGTCCGTGGTAGTCCATGCAAGGTGACATAACTGTCTAATCGCCTCTTGAAAGAGTCGATTGAAGGAGCTATAACGATGTGTCGCGGTAAGGCATTCCATAAAGCACATACTCTTAGGGAGAAAAATTTGGACCTGAGTGTGGTGTTGGCTCTCTGGTGTGCTATCTTAAAGGGGTTTCCTCGTGAAGATGGTTGAGTTGCAGGCAAAACTGATTTGTTTGCATGATCTGCCTGATGGGCGATCTTGTATGCCATTGTAGCGTCATACACTTCCCCAAAATCAATAGCCTAGGGTTTGACGACTTCGACATTGATGCTGACCTTGATAGTTTAACTGGACTCGCTAAGCTGAAGGCATCCGGTCAAGCATCCTCGCCATTTGGCACGCTGTCGTGTTACGTTGCATTGCTCGTATTCGACTCTCTAGCCAGTTAGTTGGAACGCATCGGTATTTTGGCATAACCATCCAAATATACTATTCCATCCGACTACGCTATCGTGTTCTTCCTTGGTCTCGTATTCGTGGGTATATAACAAGTTCGAATAATTAGTGATTGGTCTTTGCGTCTGTCAAGTTCGCACCAGGACAAATCCTAAATTGGTGAGCCCGACGTGATCACATATCCCGAACAATAGCAAGTATTGAATTGGTGAGCCTGTTCCATTTTATATTTGTTTATTGTTTTCATTTCGATAACATTTATATATCCATTTACTACACTTTCTCATGTCCGACCACACTCCCAAGCTTATTCGTATTAAGCCGACCTCGAACACGATCCAACTCGTGCCATATTGGCCAGACAATGCAGAAACATGGTTTCTGTATGCCGAGGCCGATTTTCGAGAACAGGGTGTCTCAGATCCTCATCTCGATTTCTTGCTGTCATACGTTCACTACCGCGAGAATTAAACAGGTTGTTACAGCAAACATGTTTAATCCTGAAGTAAGTGACCCTTATGCACTTCTAAAGGCTGCACTCTTGAAGAAAGGCGATCTCACAGATCGCCAACGTCTAGACGAATTGCTTCGTAACATCGAGCTAGGCAGCCACTCAGCTACTGAAGTCCTCGCACGCATGCGAGAAGTAATCGGTGCACGAACATTTGACGATGGTTTCTTCCGAGAACTATTTCTCTCGAAACTACCACAACCGGTGCAAACCGTGTTGGTGACACTCCAGTCAGTCCCACTCGACGACCTGGCAGCTTCAGCAGATAAAATACTGGAGATATCCAGCAGACCCGTCTCCAACGTATATTCTATCTGTGACAAAACAGAGCGCCAGGATTCGGAGGTGACCAAGTTGTGCAACTCTGTGAAACGGTTGCTACGATCTCGAAGTCCTAGATCACGTAGCACTTCACAGAAACGCACCTTGGCGCATCGCAGCAAGTCGCGTGGTAGCCCTAAAACGAAACCCAACAGGGTGGAAAACCCTGAATGGTGCTGGTTTCATAACACTTACGGGGATGAAGCCAGAAAATGTCGTAAACCATGCCGTTTTAAGAAGGACCGAACTCGGGAAACGGTCACGCCGGCACGTGCTCACGGCAACCGTAGCCGGCGGAAAAAGCCGTTTGCTCTACGTCACCGACATTAAAACGAAAGTCCGCTACCTCGTCGACACCGGCGCAGAAGTTAGCGTTCTTCCAGCAACGACAAAGGAGCGTCATCTCGACCCATCCTTCAATCTTCAAGCAGCCAACGGCAAGGCAATCGCGACATTCGGGAGACGGTATGCCTACCTCAACTTAGGTTTACGCAAACCTATTCACTGGATTTTCCTCCTGGCAGACGTCTCTATGCCTATCATTGGCATAGATTTGCTGAACCATTACGATCTACTCGTAGATGCTCGCCGTCGACGACTGATAGATAACAACACAAAGTTATCTATTGGCGGCACCACCTATGTAGGTCCGAGTTTAGCCATCGTTAGGACTAAACAATCAGGCGACGCGTCCTACCAGGCAGTTCTGGAGAAATATCCAGAGTTACAACAACCGAAACACACTCTTCCGTGCATAACCAGCAATGTTATGCATCACGTCACAACCACAGGTCCACCTGTGGCATCCAAAGCTCGCCGTTTAGCCCCCGATAAGCTGCAAACGGCGAAAAATGAATTCGACCATATGCTGGAACTGGGCATTATCAGACCGTCGAACAGTCCTTGGGCATCGCCATTGCACATGGTGCCCAAAAAGGATAGCAACGACTGGCGTCCGACCGGTGATTACCGAAGGCTTAACGCCAAAACAACTCCGGACTGCTACCCTATACCCCACGTTTACGACTTGACCGCAACCTTATGCGGCATGAACATTTTCTCGAAAATCGACTTAGTCAAAGCGTACAACCAGATACCTATGGCAGCAGAAGATATCGCGAAAACAGCCATTATTACTCCTTTTGGCCTGTTTGAATTCCTGCGCATGCCTTTTGGTCTTCGGAATGCAGCACAAACATTCCAACGCTTTATGGACGACGTCTTCCGTGGTCTGAATTTTGTTCATGTCTACATAGATGACTGTCTAATTGCGAGTCCAGATAAGGAAACACACCTTAAACATTTGGACCTCGCATTCGAAAGACTCAAAAAACATGGCATCACAGTTAACTTACAGAAGTGTGAAATAGGAGTTGAATCACTCAGCTTCCTTGGGCATACCATTGACAACAAAGGTATACGCCCATTGAGAGATAAAGTGGCGGCTATCACAAACTATCCAGAGCCGACCACTGTGAAACATCTCCGCACTTTCAATGGCCTGGTAAGTTATTACCGAAGGTTTATCCCTAACTGTGCCTCTGTCATGAGACCACTCACAGATCTACTTCGAGGAACTGCGAAGTTCGTGTCTCTGGACAACGCGGCTAGACTTGCTTTCTCCAAAGTCAAGGAAGCCATTTCGAACGCAACCATGCTTATGCATCATGACCCCAATGCTCCTCTGAGTATTGCTGTTGATGCATCTGATTCAGCAATTGGAGCAGTTTTGCAACAGTTGACTGACAACCAGTGGCAACCGTTAGCCTTTTTCTCGAGGCGGCTGCAAGACGCGGAAACAAGATACAGTACATTTGGTAGGGAACTCCTAGCCATGTACTGTTCTGTACGCCATTTTCGACATTCTGTGGAAGGTCGTGATTTCATTATTTTCACAGACCACAAACCGTTAACGTTTTCCCTCAGCTCGGCGTCTGACAAATACTCCCCTCGTGAGTCGCGACAGCTGGATTACATTTCCCAGTTCACGTCAGACATCCGCCACATTTCTGGAGCAAACAACTCCGCAGCCGACGCACTATCTCGAATAGCTTCGATAAACTATATCGAGGGTATTGATCTCGTTGAACTAGCTCGGCGTCAAAAGGAAGACCTTGAGCTGCATCATGAGTTGTCGTCCACAACTCTCAAACTGCGACTTTGTCCTGTTGGATCAGACAAGGATGCAATTTTGTGCGATGTCTCTGCTAGTCAACCACGCCCAATAGTTCCGAAGAGTTGTCGACGCAACGTCTTCAATACGTTGCACAAACTCTCTCATCCAGGTGTACGAGCCACCATTAGGCTTATCGCACAACGTTTCTGCTGGCCTGGGATGAACAAAGACGTTAAGGAGTGGGCCCAGTCGTGCTTAGCTTGTCAAAAGTGTAAAGTCACGCGACACACGAAAAGCCCTTTAGGCTCATTTCTAGCCCCAGACATGCGTTTCGACCACGTCCATATAGATATTGTAGGACCCCTACCAGAATCTAATGGATGTACCTACCTTTTCACCTGTGTTGATCGTTTCACACGATGGCCGGAAGCAGTACCCATTAAAGATATTACTGCCGAAACAGTTGCTCGTGTTTTCGTCGAAAGATGGATCGCGAACTTCGGATGTCCATCCTACGTCACAACCGACCGTGGGCGCCAATTTGAGTGCGGACTATTTCACGCTCTAACGGCACTTTTAGGTTGCACTCGGTTCCGAACGACAGCCTACCATCCACAAGCAAATGGCATGGTAGAGCGTTTCCATCGACAGCTGAAAGCTTCCCTTTCAGCTACAAACATACCTCAGTGGACCGAGGCTCTGCCTCTAGTCCTACTAGGTATTCGTAACGCGTTGAAAGTTGATGCTGGATGCACTCCTGCAGAACTCGTCTATGGGACCACTCTTCGCCTACCAGGTGAGTTTGTTTCCCCTTCAACTTTCAAACATGTTTCCGATAGGGCATCTTATGTGACTAGGCTTACAAACGCA